TTTTTGTTTTTATGAATATCTCAAAAACAAAAAATCTGAAGAAACCCACTTTTTCCTAGAACAGCCCCCATATATATATTTTCAATGGGTAAAAGTGAATAATTTAGTCATAATCAGAGAGCATAAATAATATTAATTGATATTTTATTATCAATGTTTTTGGATTAAATGAGATATCGATGATATCAATGAATTTGCAGGTAAAGGAAAAAAATTATTGATTTGTATATAATATTAGAATCATTTATCAGGTTACTGATTTTTATATGTGCATATTATAATTTAATGGGTAAAAGGAATAACTTGGTCAGTTATAAATTATAAACCCATTAAATATAATCAATATACACAAATAAATGTGTAAAAGAATAACTTGGTCAATTATAATTATAAACACATTTATTAATTATATTTAATGGTAAAAGAATAACTTGATCGGTTATAATTATAATAAAAAAAAATACATAATATTAATTGATTATCTTTTCATTTTATTAAATAACTATTACAGAAAAAATTAATTTGTGTACATATATATATTAAAATTATCTATCAGGATAACAAAATGGCATCTTATATTGCTTAGTCCTATAATTTGGAAGTTATATGATCAGTCAATAAAGCTCTCGCCATGATTTTCTTGTTTTTCTCTATTTATTCAACGAAAGGATCCGCACAATTAGCCAATCTAAAAAAAAATCCAGAACGTTTATCATTTATCCCATAAACCGCCAAAAGTCTTATTTATTAATAATATCGTCACAAATTTGTGACTTATACGGTTTAAGTGATAAATTAGAAAATACCAAATTTTGCATATTCTCCGCATACAAAATATGATGAGTGCAGATCGTATTAATGCAACACGGTTTATATCGTGTCTTTAATTAAAACCATTTTTTTATTTATAACACGTCCTTAATTAATTAATTCGTCAAACAGCTGTCTTCTTTGTTGTGATGTCATACCTCTTTATCCATAACCTATTTATTAAATAATTTAATTTTAGTATTTATGCATCCAAACCTATTTTTATTTCTCTTTTAAATAATCCGATGATATGTAATTAATTATCTTTTGAATCGAAAATTAAAAAGACAAACAACAATAAAATGCTAATTCAAACGTTTCAAGAAATTTATTTTCCCTAAAAAATATTTTTTTTTCCTTGTGAATTATTTATTTATTATTATATATATCTAAAAGAAAATTTAGTTAACTAAAAAAAAAATAAATAAACATTTTAGACAATTAATTAAAAAACCACTTTTTTCAATGCATAAAATTATTTACAATAAAGTCAAAAGAAAGATTGAAAAGTCAAAATCATCTTCATCGCCTTCACCTTTTTCGAAGACGAATAAAACTATTAAAACATTTTTTGCCAACATAAATTTAAAAAATCATTCAAAAACAAAAACTTGTTCAAAAAAAATTAGAACTATCAACAACAATAAAAATGTCGACGATTTATTAAAAGAAGAACAAGCAACAAAAAAACGACAACTAAAAATAATAGACTATGCTAAAGTAATTTTAAACGATCATGCTAATTCAGTTTGGCCAAATTTTTATGAGACACCCGAAGAGCCAGCAAAGAGAACATTGGATGATATTAATGATACTGAATGGATTGGATACGGGAAGTTATCGATGTCATCATATGATACTGCTTGGATGGCGATGATCCCTTCTGAAAAGTATAAATCTACCAATTTACCAAAAGATTTCGAATTGGCTTTCCCACAATGCTTAAAATGGTTTTTTTATCATCAAGACGATAATGGTAGTTGGGCTGGTAAAGACGTAAAAGGTGTTTTACCTTGTCTTGCTGATCTACTTGTCCTTGGTCTTTTCCGTTCCCGTTCTGGTGATTATCTAGAAGAAAAATTAAATGATTTAGGGTTGACTTTGTCTCAATTCAACTCAAGTTTCGAAAAGTCTGTAGATTTTCTTAAAATCACGTAGGTATACATTCTATATTTAGTCATCCTCATGTGTTTATTCTTTATTTACTAATTAATTAATTAATTCATTCATTTCCTTAATAATTAGTCTAAATCAATGGAATATTGATGAAATAGACTATGTTGGTTTTGAGTTGATAGTTCCATATATGCTTAATGAATTAGAAAATCTTAAACCAAGTGTGGTATTTCAATTCCCTGATGAGCAAAGATTAATTAAAGAACATGCCAGAAAAATGAATCTGATACCTATTGAAGCATTATTTGCGTTAGCAGCAAAACGTCAACCAGTAGCAATGATTCATTTGATTGAAGCCTTTGGCAACAAAATAGATTTTACCAAAATTCAAAATGAAGATTTCCAAGCAATAAATGGCAGTTATGGATCTTCAGCTGCTGCAACTGCTTCCGTGCTTATTAATTCACCAAATTGGGATTCAAAAGCCTATAAATTTTTACAAAAAATTATTGCTAAAGCACCAGCGGATGGCACAAGCCTTGGATATGTTCCAACTATCAGTGATGTTGGTATATTTGAATCGGCTTGGATAATGCAATCTATGGTCGAATTTGTTTCAAGGTTACGAAATTTTACAACAACAACAACAACAACAACAATGACAACATTAACAACAACACGTCAGATAATAAATCGATCCAAAGTTTACTTGAAAAAATTAAAATAACTGCCGAATTTATAAGTCATGTTGTCAGTTTACAAAAGGGTGCTGTAAGATGGACATCATGGGATAACAGAATTCCAGCAGATGTTGATACCACCGTGACATGTCATTGGATAATAGACCAAATACTTCCTGAAATTGAATGCTACTTAAAAAAATTAGGCGCCACATTTTACAATGGACGGAATTTTGTGACGTATCCTGGCGAAAGAACAGTTTCCATAAGTTCAAATGTACATGCGTTAAGGTTGCTGCTTGCAAAATATTCAAAAGACAAATACAGAAACAATGAAGACAATTATATCATTACAATGCAAACAAAAACTGAAGCTGGCAAAAAAATAACAATTCAACAAGTCATATCTACTATTATAGAATTAATTATGGCCAATAGAAGTGAAATGGCTACTTGGTCAGATAAATGGCACTCAAGCCCAACATACACAATACTCACAGCCAACAACATGCTACTATCGTTATTATCATATCCTGAAATTGTAGAAAATTCTACATTAAAGAATCAAGATAACTTGCTTGAATATTGCTTGAAAACGGTTAATTGGTGTCTACAAACTCAACATAGTGATGGCAGTTGGGGATCTGTTTCGGAAATTGGTATGGGAACATTGAAAGAAACAAGTTATTGTATTAGATTATTGAATTATTCCAGTAAATTTTATCCTGGCAATTTGGAAATACCCAAAGCATTGAAGAAGGCTAGAAAATTTGTTTACAAATATTTAGATGAAGCCATGAATGATGATGAATTTTTCTATCAAAAACAACCATTATTATGGATCGGAAAACAACTTTTTTCATTACCCAATATAATAAGATCTTCTGTGTTAGTTTCATTATGGGAGGATTAATAATTAAAAGCCTTTCCTTTTTTTTCATTTTGTAATTCTTGGTTTTAGCTTTTTCTTTTCCACACCTCCTTCATACTGAGTGACTGATAAAGTCGCAAATAAAAACAGACCTTTTTATTATTAAGTAACTGATAAACTCGCAAATAAAAATGGGCATTTTTTTTCTTATAAAACGTTTTATTTGTTAAATATAGCTTGATTAAAACATACTAATACACTAATGTGGAAAACACACGGAATTATTTTAATATTAATATTAATATATAATTAATTAACTAGTCGCATGACATGTTGTAAAATAATAAAATTGGGTGATCATAATTTTTTGACGCGTCCAAATGTAAGTATAATGCAAATAATTATATTGTTATGAATATTTATAATATTTATACAGTTTAAAATTTCTTTTACGTTATAAAATAATTAGATAATATGAGCAAGCAACAATAATATAACAATTGTCAAAAAAGGAGAAGAGAAATGTAAAAGATATTTAATATTATTATTATTAAAATGCGTCAATGAATTGTGATTTAAAATCAATATTAAATAACATTACTAAATATCAACTAGTTTGGTTGCCAAAACTATTTTGAAAAGGCGAAAGTCAAAACTAAAATTAAAAGTTATATGTCAAAACTAAATCAAAAGTCAATAGTTAAAAATCAAACTAGTTTTGACATTCGCACGAAACTCTCTAATTTTGGAAACAAACACTAATATCAACTATAAATAAGTTTTGAATATTATGTGCAATAGAATTCAGGCTTACTTTTGAATCTAAAGATCACTCAATTCGATCAAGTACTTACCAAGATACAAAAATATATGGTAATGGGTAAAGAGCGTTTTTTTTCGGATTTTAAATACTTATATGGCATTTTCAAATAATCAAACTCGTTATCATACAACTAGAGAAAGCATTCATAGAGGTTGGACTCGACTAAACTTTTTTTTGAACAACTAATAGTCGACTATTAATACTACTAATACTAATACTAATACTAATACTAATACTATGTAAATATTATTGTCTGGCCAATTACGATTTTTGTGTTTTATCATTCAAAATGGAAATCTTCTATACGGAAGAGTATCAATACCATCAATATGATGATGATGTCGACAATAGTAGTATGTTGTTGATGATAATTTTACATGTAAATGAATATACAAGGTCCAATAGTTCATTGGCTTCAAGTTCCAATGATTTAAGCGGTGATTCCAGAAGACATTTAAAAAAATGAATCGCAACACAAGTTTTGTGTGGAAAAAATGAAGGATTCAAATGGAAATGAATTCGTAATTTGCAAATTAAAAAAAAAAAAACGAAATATTATATTAGTTATAAAAAAAAATTTAGTCGACTAAAATAATCGAAGTAATCGACTAAACTAAAATAATCAACTAGTAGTCGACTAAGGATTTTTTGGACGATTCCAACCTCTAAGCATTCATCAATTATATTTTACAAAACTTGCTTTCCAAGCTTTGTAGATCTCATCTGGTGTTGATTAATTGGTTTTAGAGAGATTCATAAAAAAAAATAGTTTTATGGACCCAAGTAATGGTAACATGTTTTTTTTTATATTACTTTTGTACCTATTTTATATTAATATTTTATATGTGTATTTAGGAATGTAATAATTAAATTAAAAGGTATTTCTTTTTCCAAAGGTTAATATGGTTGAACGAAATCAGAAAAAATTGTTATGTGACCATGATATATTCTTATAAGATCTGGCGGTGTATAGTGCAGGACACCTAGTCCCACAACTTTTTATTGGTCTTGTATATTCTTTAGTATACCAGAAATGGAAATGTAACTCACATAAACAAAACATGATTTTGAAGCTAAGACCTTTCTCC